ATGCAAAGCAACTCTACTTCCGAAGAGGAGGCGGAAGAGGGACGAACGAAAACTGCCAGTAAGACTCGCTCTCGTGTAGGTAGGAAAAGAAAGGCCACACTGAATTCATTTAGTGGGAGGCCCAAGCAGGCTAGGAACAGCCAAGCTGAAGACACACCGGCAGGTGATAATGTACTCTTAAGTTAGTTACAAAACGCAAAATTTGACCGAACGACCTTCCATACATTGCCTCTTAGCTTTTGTATTTACGCTCGTAAAATTTAAGCGCAACAATAAGAGACTATTATTGCCATCACATTTAAAAACTATTTAGAGTTTTAGAGAATTTTTCAGTCTATCAATAACATTTCCAACTAAAGGTTTTCTAGACGGACCATTGTAAAGGTTACTATTATTAATCATTTAATCACAACTAGAACAAAATTGTCAAATCTGATTGGCTATCAACTGCCCTGATTTCAGCCTTAATTGTACCGTTTAATAGGACAGTACGCGCCACCACGCGCGCGCTTAAATGGTTTTTTTTTCACTGCTGGCAAAAAAAATCGTAAAATTTCTTGTGTTTTGATTTCAAAGAGAGCCTACTATATCACAAATTTTGTTAAAGTTATGATTAATTGGTAAGAGAACTTCGTGTCGTTCAACTCGGTCTGTAATCATATTCGTGATTCAACAAGACCGAATTGCACCCCACTCATCCTGTTACCACTACTTATCATGGGGTTCTGTATTACGACTTATCTTGCATGACCTTGTTAGCATTACGTATTGTGTTTTCTCGTGTTAGATCAGTTGATTTATAGAGGTTTTAAGTCTCCCAATAAGCTCTTCCAGCTAGAATTCGTTTTGAGACCCTTATAAAGATTATTAATTATTATTTTCATTATTAATTGGTATGATACAACTATAGCTTTGAATTTAAAGATGACTTAACGGCAAAGGTGATCAAAATGTCAGTCACTTTCAACAAAAGTCCTATTTTAACGACCACTCAGCCAAAAGATTATAATACACTTTCTTATGTAACTTATTTACTTTTAGCAACAAAATAATACGAACTCTTTTGTAGTCATAGCTAATAAAGATGGGCTCAGAGTTTCAGTTCAAATGGGTTGAATATTGAACTTATCTGTTTCTGATTCATGATGGTCAGAGAGTAGCAAAGCAATTAGATCAGATCTGCCATTGAAGTTCAAGAAAACAAATTGAGAGGAACTACCACAAAACCTAAATCAGTTAAGAAAATAATGAGAAATATTGTACATGTATGTGTATGTTCCTCACACAGGCAGTTCTACAGAAAACACACAATCTACACCAACAGATGACATATTTCACTTGGAGTCATTAAATATAACTGGACTGAGGAAGGACGTCTTTCCAGACACTGAAAGTTGGAAAAGACTAAGTGATTTCTTCACTAACCATAATCCAGTTGCCCAGCAGGTAGGAAAGAATAATTTGCTGTGCACTTTACTGTTACATCGCGAAGGAACTTGGTTTTTGATAGAAAATTCCAAAATGTACTATAAAGTGCACACGAACACTTCAGATAAAATATAGAGTCCCTAACATGACAATCAATAAATTATTACCTACCCAGTATAATTATTAAAAAATGTTGCATATCCTTGGCAAACTTTGCCAAAAAACCTTTCACAAATACTATGACGAAATACACAACTGCCTATAGTTGAACTGGGCATGTGTGACTAATTCTAGCAACTCGTGACTGCAAAAATAAGTACATAAATGACATATTAACTACAATGAATTCTTTTTCTTACATTGGTAGCAAGTCCTTGCTGCTTTGACTGACACTTGCCCCAGTGTCTGGCCAGGTGATCCAAAACAAGTGCATGATGCAACCAGTGCACAGCTGTCTCTGATAAAAAAGACACAGGCGAGTCAAATGATGGCCACTCTTTTGGCATCTGCAGTGAAAGCTGCAACTGTTCTGAGGAGACATGCAGCCTCAAGGGAGCACAATTTTTCCAGATCACACAGAGAGAAGAGACCCCATGTGCAGAAACTACCACTTGTTCTGTCTGTGATGTATTTTCAAGACACCTTGGGCTATGTGCCCTAATGGCCAGAGCACACAGTAGTAAAAATGCACGCATGACCCAGCTGTTGGCAAGCAGCACAGCATTGCACCAAATTTACACTCTTGCAGCGCCTTGTCAGTTGTCTCCAGCTGAGAGAGTACAAAGTAAGACCAAGGTGAAAGATCTTCTGTGTAAAATCTTTGACTGCAAGAGGAACAGATTGCAGTGCCTGAAGCACATCGGCCAGTTGNGCAGAAAAAAAGCTGTGCAGTGTATAGTAGAAAAAAATAATTATCTTACTCTCTGCCATACGACCAGGTGATGAAAGCAGATCGAAGCATATTCACTGTCACCAATCTTCCAGTCAGGCTACGAAACAAACTTTTCATGTGTGCAGAGAACGCAGGTCCCGAGAATCTGTGACCCTTCCTGTTCTGCAAGGTACAAGTTAAAAAAGACATGGATGAACACTGAACTAAAGTTGGAAAAACACTCGGATCTTTCTAGTAAAATTGACAATAATATTGAACGTGTGAAAGAAACAGTGATTCTTACAGGTCCAGCTTTTGCTTTCCTAGAACCATGTGTTCCAGTACAAAGAAATACAAAGATAGCATTGTATTAACTGAAGGGTGAATTGGGTCGAGAAAGCACCCTCGCTGAATTTAATGCTCGTCCTAAAAGATGATTTTCCAGATAAAATAACCCCAACTACTGAAATGAAGATAACCAATTGAAAGGATTCACCCTCACAAGGGTGCTTTTTTGTCCATATTTTTCACCCAAATAAGATCTCAATAAGGTGAAAATTTGGCGCGATTCACCCTTGAAGGGTGAGAAATGTCAAAGAATCACCCTAAGGAGAATTAATTTCAAATCCCAGGGACTTCTATGAGAGTGGTTAGGGGATTTATATAGGTGAATCAAGAGACTGAGACATTTTCAAAAGCTAATTTAAGGTTAGGGTAAAACCTTACTGTGTCCAATTTAGGGTGATAATTTAAATCCACTCACCAGAAGCAAGTAGTCCCCACTGTCATCCTTTGCAAGGAGTGGACGGAAATCGTTGATGTAATTTACCAGAACTTTGTATAGTTCATGGTCACACTGAAAAGAAGGAGAATCCTGTTTAAGTCCACTTTGCCTTTTAGAAACCAACATGAAAATTCTTTGCACTGTATCTTCCCTTTGCTAATGTAACATTTGTGCAACAAGGGACACGAGTTTTGGGAATTATGAAAAACTGAGTAGTGATCTCACCTGCAGAGTTAGCTCATCCCTTCCAGATGTCCCGGATGTGATAATCGCAACGCCATTCTACCTGTAGCCAAACCGTTTCTCCGGGAGTAAGAGGCAATCTAAAAATGTAAAATGTAAAATGTAATACATAACAAAACAAAAATTCATTAAAATACAAGAAAAAAAGAGGCAATCTATCCATATTTAGGGCTACGCGCACATTTATTTTACCCATACCATACACAGAAACGCTCTATCGTAAGGTGTGTAACAGTTGGGTTAGCAATGATGCGATGATTGAGGCAAAGTCCCGAACCATATGCTTTAAAGTTATCCCCTTGTTCTGTCCGTGATGTATTTTCAAGACACCTTGGGCTATGTGCCCTAATGGCCAGAGCACACAGTAGTAAAAATGCACGCATGACCCAGCTGTTGGCAAGCAGCACAGCATTGCACCAAATTTACACTCTTGCAGTGCCTTGTCAGTTGTCTCCAGCTGAGAGAGTACAAAGGAAGACCAAGGTGAAAGATCTTCTGTGTAAAATCTTTGACTGCAAGAGGAACAGATTGCAGTGCCTGAAGCACATCGGCCAGTTGGCCCAGCTCTTGCCAAGACTTCTGTGTGTCCAGTTGGTCACAGGGCACTCTCTCTTCTGGGATGACTTGAGGAAAGTGGCACGTGCAGTGAATTCCCAGCCAAATCAACAGTCAAAATTAGCTGCAATAGTTGCCATTGGGAGAAAACTTCCTCCAGCGTCCCCTTGGAGAGCATTCCTCACCTCAGAGAGGACCGCAGATGAGGAGGCTATTATCCAAAGATTTGGCTCCTAATGTGCAAGCGCTTTTCAGTGCATTAGTTCTGTATTTCTTAACACCTCTGGAGGGTGAATATTAAGGATTTCTTTCATATTGATATACAGTAAACTTAAATTTGTTGTTAAGATCTAGAGACATAATAGGAGAAAAATGCAAGTATTTAAAGAGCAATTAATTTTGATATTCCACTTAACTTATTCCTAAAATAGTTGGCTGAATAGTTTTCCCCCAGATGGTATTGCGCAACTATATTTTGATGTAAACAAAGTGGCAGGTGCAGTGAATTCCCAGACAAATCAACAGTCAACATTTATAGCAGCAGGTAGTTGCCAACAGAAGAATTTCCAAGACTTTCAGCTTTGTGTTACATAGAGGAGTAAGACAGTTTGAAATTGAGAAAACTGAAATAGTTTGCTAAATTATTTTTTCCCTCAGATGGGATTACTTAACTCTATTTTCATGTAAATTCCAGAGGAAAAAAAGGTTCATTTAATTGTTCTGTTGACTAGCATGTCTGCCTTTTTCACATAAACACTTATTAAGGCTACAAGTCATTTATGGAAAGTGTATACTATTTAAGGAGATATGAGACAAAAAAAAATAATGGTTTGATAGTAATTTTGAGTAATCAATAATTATTTAATAATATAATTATTATTATCAATTATTATTAATGTCACATGCTTGTCACACAAGGTTTGCCTTCTGTACAAGAACCAGTGTTTAGCCTAAAATTTGAAACAGGTTTTTATTTTCTTAAATCTATAAAGAAAACATTACGTACAGTATGTGGTCCTTGGTCCGCGACTTTTCCGAACATGTTGAAAAATTTCATCTAGAAAAAAATTAGGTAAAAAATGAATGTAGCCGACAATTTATTGATTAGTTTTCTTTCATATGGCGAAGTTTCGGCTTTTCTTCTGTTGCTCCTTGGTAGTACTGTTCGTTTTTCTGTGTTTGATGCTATAAAACTTAAGCAGCTTTCTCTCCAATTTTGTACACTGGTTAACCTTTAGGAATGGAAGGGTTTAGAAAACTCCTGCGCCAAGTTGTTCAAAGGCCGATTAGCAGTAACCCGGGGTTGAATTTCAAGACCAGTTTCTTTTTCTCTTGTTGAAATTTTTTTTTTGGATAATTTTCTCTATTCTTTTTAGAGCATCCAGTCATCACATTATAGACAAAGAGATACAATAATGCTATAAATTAATACTTAGCGCTCTGCGTAGGTAAAAAATAAAGATACAGCACCTTTTCACCTTATGAAAAATTAAAATATAGAGTATATATTCAGTGCGGTAGAAAATAATTACTCAAAACTCTGTATGTATTCAAGATATTAAGAAAAGAGAATTTGGAAACATGTATAAGGAATATCTTAACACATCCCTTTTATCAATCAAAAGGTTTCATTTATTTTGCAAAATGTAATTACACCAAGGTCATAGGTTGCAGACCAAGGACCACTATGCGAAATTTGGTGATAGCTTTCAAGAGTCGTTAAAACAAAAAATTCAAAGTCTTCAGCAAATTTGCTTCCAACGGCAGAAAAAGTTTTATCTGAAAACCTGTCCTGCAAAAAGACACGTCTTCCTGTTGCGTTTTATTTATTCACAAGCAAAGTAAACATGACCACGTAATTTATGGTGCCGCAAAAGTACATGTACGAACTTCAAGAAAGACGAATTAACTTACTGTCAACAAGCTTGAATTTCACGTCTTCAGGTTTAGTTAAAACAGCAA